TAGTTTGTTTTTTACCAAATTGCTTTTGCCTAAATCAAAGACTCACTCTTGCTACTAAGAAAAGTTCAACGTGCTTAAATGTGTTGTACCTTCAAATACTTCTCACATACATATCCTTTATCTTTAAGAAAGCAATGAGAATTTATTGGGTGCTCACTACATATTCAGCAATCAAGCAGACTACTATGGTTCTTTAGGAGTTTCCTATCTGATTTTATATTAAATCATTTTCATCAACGATGCCATTTGTACCTTCAAATACTTCTCACATACATATCCTTTATCTTTAAGAAAGCAATGAGAATTTACTGGGTGCTCACCACATATTCAGCAATCAAGCAGACTACTATGGTTCTTTAGGAGTTTCCTATCTGATTTTATATTAAATCATTTTCATCAACGATGCCACTGAAAAAAATTACATATTTTCTTGGAGTATATATTTGCCTATGTACATTACACTATAAGCTCCAATAAGTTACTTTTGTCTGCCTTGACAACTGATATATCATCAATGTCTAAAGCAGTACCAAGCCCTTAGTAAGTGCCCAATAAATATTTACTGAATGAAAAGTGAGTTTAGCTAGTTGAAAGTAACATGGAATTGATCTCAATCTTGTTAGCACATATGAACTACCATTAAGTGCCTATCCCTCAATAACCCATACCCCCAAAATTTGGAAATGAGAAAATAAAAGGCCCTGATAGATTTATTTAGTAAATTGACCCAGTGGCTCAGAGAAGATTTAGGAAATTACCTGAAAGAAAAAAAAATTGCTCCTCAATCAATAGAACTTGAATATTACCTGATTGATAGTATTGACATATTTAACAGGAAAACCTACCAATCAAAGTAGAATTAATAATTATAGGAACTTAAAAAAGATTGTAATCACCTTGGCAAATGTGGAAAGTACTCATTGGAGTACTATGATCTAGGAGAGAGAAAATCCTACCCATTGGACTATGAATATTTCTAGTCCTAATAGCAAAGCTATCCCCAGAAGATACGAGGGTTTCAGCCAAAGACCTTCGAGTTTTCTGCTATCTTTGGCAAGCCCATTCCTAAGAAAAGGTGAGTGCATTGGGCCATTGTAGCCTGATGCCATTAACATTCCATTACACCTCATCCCCTCATTCTGATTCCACGTTCACCAGGCAACCTTCTCATTGTCCTAAGGTTTCCGGAGTAGGTCTGCCTATGAGGGGAGATTGGACTTTTACTATAAGCATTGCTATTTGATATCTCTTGATGAATTAATGGCTCCCAGTTATGATTTTGTTCCTCATGTTGGTTTACTATAGAAAGAAAAATGAGCTTGTTGTGAGTTATTTTAGTTAGCCAGAGACAATTGCTCAGGACCTAACCATTCCTGGACACTGGTTGAAACAGGAAATCTCTGGGCCTTCAAAGTGGAGACCAGGTCCTAGGAAGCAACAAACTAATTGACTTATGACCCAACAAGTTCCTGTCTAGCTCTAAGCAGTCTTCCCAAGATAGAGCACCCCCACTTTTGGATTAATTTCTCCTGCTTCTGGGGTACTACTATTAAATTAACTGAAATAAGGTTTGTGAACAGTGTATCACAAGCTGAAAATTACATTAAGTGGATTAAAATATTATTTTTAGAGTTATATTTATACTTTTACTGTGAAACAATCATTTATTTGTCTGAGTTAATTTCTTAGCATCAAGGTTATCTGTCAGTTAAAGATAAAAATATCTTAATTTCATATGTCTTGTTTCCTAATAAGGAATGAAACATAATTCACCCAATTGAACATCATGACAATTATATTCACGACACAGGTTCTTTCTTAAGCTGGCAAATGCTTCTCCTTCATGTTAGAAATACAAACAAACCCTCCCTGATTACTGAATGCCCTAATTATTCCTCCCTGTTTGAGTAACTCATATTTCATAGTTACAAGATCTCCTTCCTCGACTCTATTAAAATGAGTGAAAATTACCTGAGATACAACCTTGAAAGGGAAGAAGAGTCAAGCTCCTGTGTGATTAACTCAGCATGTTTTAAAGATGGACATTCTTTTCCTTCTATATTCAACCTTCTAAGAGTCAAACTTGAAGCAATTTCATACACTGATGAGAAAGTAAGTCAGCATGCAAATGCAAACTTATTCTAGGAAAGTTTCATTTTCTAGGTTTCATGCAGTTAAAACATGGAAAGAGTAAATCCTGGGTCTTTTCTGACAGAAGTCATATCTTATGAAAAGTGTTTCCTCTTTGTTTCTCAATCAGCCTTTCAAATTAATAAGAAATCATCATACATTATTACAAATTGATTTCTTACTCTTTTTGCTCAAAACTTACAGGCCTTCCAGTTAGCGTAAGGCATAATCAATCAGATGTACATAGTAAGTACTCAATAAATGCACAATATAAATTTCACTGTGTTGATTAATTGAATACAGCATCTAAAAACTATGATAACGTAATATTCTAATCAAGAATAAAAAGATATTTCTTGAAGAAAATAATGTTTACCCCAATGGGAAACGGAGCATCATTGTCCAGCAATGAGGTTTTTGATCTGAACCTCGAAGTTATCTTTGGAACAGTTCCTACTGCAGGATTACTGGGAAGAGGCTGTAATCGCATTGGAGGCTGCATATTTCCTGGGGCAGTATATGGTCGAGGGGCTGTCTAGACAATCAAGGAAAAAAATTCCATTTAAATTAGTATCTTGACACATTTCCAGAACCAATTAATAATCTAACAAATTGCTTAGAGTAATTAATGGTGCCTTTTTACTGAACAGATTAAACTTTAATTATGTCCTTCCATTATACATACCCTTATGACCCAAAGTATTTGTTAAAACATATGGTGTTGAAGTCCTCTACATAACTAAATGCCACAATTATATTCTAGACAAAGGAGATATCCTTTATTACATTCCTGTACTTTTTTCATACTGTAAACTCACTGACAATACCTAATTTATGCTGTACATAGAAGAGCTGGCTTTGCTCAATTAAATGTTAAGTTGAATCATGTTCCTACTTTAAGGATCTAAAGGAATATTATTGGAATGGACTCATTTCTGTTTAAGTGTTTTCAATATAAACTCTACTCTGAATGCTTTAAGCCATAAGATTGGGGATGAAGTAAAAGCAGACAATTATGACTCAAACAAAAGAGGAGAGGCAGATGCTTAACTGTAATGCATTTCCATTTATCCAACTGCTTCCTTGACATTAAGAAAATGAAAATGAAAAACTGTAACTGGTGACTGTGGAAAACACTGTGTAAAAATGGACATGCTTTCCATGCTGGGTATTTTGCATTTGCCGCTCTGGCTCTACTGTCTACCTTCTCTGGTCTGCTCTGGGACCCAGGAGTCATTCCTTTGGGGACTATACCAGCTAACCTCAGGATTGCAGTTGGATTGCACCCATGAGAGGCACTAGCAGGAAATGGAAGGACAGGAGAATGAGATTAGGGTCTTTCTTCTCCGGACCCCTCCCTGCATGGTCATAACGGGCCAGCTGGGTTCCTCTTCCAAAGGCCACAGCTCCTGCTGGGAAGCCCTCTCCTAACTATAGGTACTATCTGATGGTTCTGCTATCTGATCCCTCTCTTTCCCTCTTCAGTCTAGGTGCTATGGGTTCCCATTGTGCTGACCCTAGCATGCTTAACATCCCTAGTTGGTTTTCCTTAACCCTGCCTGCATCTTTGTAAATAGTTTCTTTATTAAACACTTCCTAATTACCCTATTTGTGTGAGCCATATGTTTCCTGCTGAGCCCCTCACTGATGCATTTTCCAACCAAGGATGTACTGCAGCGAATACCAGAAGTGCCAGTATGGAGCATTAGACTGCCCTTTGGGGCATTGACAGTACATTGTAAGTTTAGTATAATGATTAGCAAAAGGTCAAAATTGGAAAAAAATGAGGCTTTGGGCCCAGTGATCCTATTATAATAAGACAATGGAAAACCTGTCAAGAATAGCATATACATATTTGGCTAACAGGCTGTGAGAAGTATGGTATGCAAATGACTCATGAATAAGGCTTAATACATGGACTCTAAAGAATACAACAAATATTCAACAACAAATATTCAACTCTGGAAAAGAGTATATAACACATTAAAAATGAAAAGGCAGCTCCTACTACCAAAAATTAGACTTAGTTCCATCTTGAGAAGCATGTCATATGTTGCTAAATTTCTGATTCTGTTAACATTTATTGAACGTTTATTTATTCATAGGCCCTGTGGGGAGATAAAAAGTAATTTTTAACATCCAATGGCAACACAGGACAATTAGTGTCACATGAACGACATGAATACTGCCAAAAAGACAATAACAACAAAATACCTGAGAATAGTTCTTAGAACTAACAGTTTGGAGCATATTTACAGTGAGCCAGTGAAGCTATTATGTTTCACAGAAGCACTGAGATTTTATTCAAATGGTTAAACATTCAAATGGTTAAGCAAGAGAAGAAAATGGATAAGTAGAGAAAAAGAATGATAAATTTGAATATCCAAGTAGAAAGAGGGCCAGACATGGGAAGAATAGCAAAGAAAATATTCCCCAGTATTTGTTTTCCTTTCTTCACTTGTGATACAATTTTTATCTGGGAACATGGCTATCATAAATAAGGATTATATTTCCCAGTATCCCTTGCAACTCTGTGTAGACATATGCCTTAGTTTGGGCTAGTAAGGTACGAGTAGAAGTGATACGTAAAGCCTCCAGATTGTGCCCTTAGAAGAAGTGTGCCCTCATCTTCCCTTTTACCTCTTCCCTCTGCCTGAAATATCCGCACGGTTTATACACCATCTTGGCTTATGTGGATTAAGGGAACACCCTAAATTTGGCAGATCAATAACCCAAAAGGAGTGCGGGCTTTTGATGACTTCATTGAGTAGAGATGGCACACCAGCTGAGACTCTTGTATGTGTGTTGGGGGGAGGGAGCCTTATGTTTTAGCCATTGTTACTTTGGGTCTCTGCACACAAATCTAGATCACAATCAATACAAGAAGCCAAGTGGATTGACTAGAGCAGTACTTGATTTAAAGAAAACAGTGAAAACACTGACACCAGCACTTGAAAAGCCTGTCTCTCTGGTAAGCCCCATTCTTCATTTGGTCACCCCCTATGGTGCTTTTGCACCTTAAGGGATACCTACTGTGATCTTGAAATTGTAATTTTACAGAAATTCAGAGATAAGCCTACATAGGCCAAAAGGTAAAAGGTCTTAAAACCCATGAATAGAAATTAAACTAGAGGTTTCTGATCAAGGGAATCAGGTCACCCAAAAGAATTCTTTTGAACTCTGTAAAACAAATATGCCTTAACACTCTGTCCTATCATATAATCCAGCTGAACACAGAAACACGAAAAATCTAATGTAGGAATTCAAGAAAGCAGTTTACTGCAAACTAGAACATGATCTATTGGCTGTTGTGCTCTAAATTTTACTTCCACACATTTGCATACAGATATCATTCAGTGAGATGAATGTGGCAGTCAAATGTTTAACTGATTACATTTACCTCTAAAAACAAATCTGCACCATTAACTAACAGCTGTGAGCTACAAATTGTTGTAGTTCACATCAGAAGCTACCTTAAATTTGCTATATTTTAAATTGTAATCTCTTTTCTGGAATAAATATGGCACTGTAGCTTAACATTTTCAAAACTGTACCAGAATGAGAATTGAAATTGACTACCTGGTGATTACTCAGCTTAGCTGAGCATTTCTAATTCTTAGTAGATCTCTGGGGGTGAATTTTTCAAGCATGTGCAAAATTAGTTGACATGACTTTCCACATTTTAAAGGGAGTAGTGCAGCTAAAAGCCTGTATGCTGTTTTGAAAGTTTAGGTGCAATTAGTGACCAAGTGCACTAACATTGCACTGGATGCTTTCCTTATTCACTCAAGAAAGTTAAAAAAGAAAAAATCAATGGCAATACCCAAAAGGAATATTATCTTCTTCTCAATGGTGCTTGGAGGTCAGGAGTCAAATTTAAAGGATACGTAACCAGGTTGGAAAAACAAATAAGGGGTCTTGAATTTCTGTAAAATGGGAATTACAATTCCAAGATCACAGTAGGTATCTCTTAAGATGCAAAAACACCATAGGGGGTGACCAAGTGAAGAATGGGGCTTACCAGAGAGATAGGCTTTTGAAGTGCTGGTGTCAGTGTTTTCTGTAATTTTTAAATTACCTTCTGACTCCTGCCACATTAAGATCTCCTGGATGTATCATAAACTATTTATTGAGGGTGTTCAGCTGGAAAATTGAAAAGAAAGCCTTTCAAGGGTTTTTCTTCTCTGAAATAGGTGGGAAGACAGAAAATAGCACTTTATTATTTCTTTTGTTTCACTGGGGTTAAGCTTTTGAGAGTCTAATGATTTTGCCATCCAATAAAAGAAATTTGTATACATATACATTCAAATCAAACCTGGAAATAGGGTAACAAAAAAGGGTAAGATGTTCACTTTTCATCACCTGAGCTGTTCATCAGGAAATGTCAAAACATATTTACTCTTTTGATAATGTCAAAGCTTAGCACTATATGTGATGAACTTCTTTCAACAACCTGTGAAAGCACTGTGATTTCCCTGTTATAAATATTGTGCAATTCAAAAAAAGTTTATGCTAACAAGGAAATATATTAGGCTACACAAAGCAAGGATAAAGATATAATCAAGCAATTCAGTTACAACTTAAACCATCAACCTCCAGCAAATATTTTTGTAAATCTTTTCCTATATCTATATTGTTTCAAGGAACTTAACCTCCCTCTAAGCAAATACTACCTCTAGGTTATAAATGAATCAAGCTGGGATAAAATATCAGTGCACAATTTCTTCAAATAGAATTTCTGCACATTTAATTATTTTTATCTTAGAGTATGTGCATATACTTTTGATAAAAGAAGCTCAGATATTAGTATCTTTAGGTATGGTATATGGTACCATAGAATTTGTACAGATGAGGTGGGAGCAGAGAGAACAGCAAGAACAAAATTAAGAAGTCACAGAATATAGAACATGTGTGGAACAACTCGTGGCTCGATTCTGCTGCATTGTAGGGTGCTGAAGGGCACTTGTGGGAAAAAACTATTTGGATAGCTAAATTGCGGTCACATGGTTGAGGATCTTAAATGTGAGGTGAAAGAGTCTGGGTTTTTCTATAGGTAATACAAAGCCAGAAAAGGTGTCTGGGCATGTAAGTAACTTAAATAATCTTCACCTCAAAAAAACAAATCCAACAGTAACAAGCAAAATGGACTTGGCAGGGGTGATATTGATTGGAGTTAGGACATTCAGTAGAGAGAGAGTTGAACAGATACAAGAACATATTTTCATTTAGTAGGACTCACAGAATTATGCTGACATATTCCTGGAGAATTCTTTCTGAAATTAATAAGAAATCATAAATTAATCAGCTGGGATACTGCATGCCAGAGTGTTTAAAGGACATTCAGTAGAGAGAGAGTTGAACAGATACAAGAACATATTTTCATTTAGTAGGACTCATAGAATTATGCTGACATATTCCTGGAGAATTCTTTCTGAAATTAATAAGAAATCATAAATTAATCAGCTGGGATACTGCATGCAGAGTATTTAATATGACTCACCAGTGTTAATGGGCTGGAATGTCCTTCATCAACCAGAACACTATGGCCACGGCTAGTCTTTGGGCCAGCTGGGGGGCGGGGAGACAGGATTGGCATGTTATTTTCAATAGACCGTCTTGTGTGTTCTCCCTAGAATAAGAAAGCAATGTAGCAAATAGATGTATGGTTAGTAATCTAGGTTAGGTTAGTGCCTATGTGACTAAAGAAGACCTGTCTTATTCCTTTCAAGAGTGCTACTTCTGAGGCCTGTCATGGTGGTTAGGAAGTTTCCACAGATGAATTAGAGAGTTGGATGTGGTGATAAAAGGTAGAAAATCCAGTCTGCTTTAGATGTGCTCAAAAAAATAGCTACAAAAACAGTATGTCCTCAGCTTTATCAATAATAATTATTAACCTACTTTAGGAAGATCACTTCAAAAACCACACTGCTCTTCACTATTCTGATTAGTAGAGACCACCAGAAAATAGTACTTTTCAACCTTACTAAATAAGTAAATTAAATAGTGCCATGAAGAAAAAAAGGCTTCACATTAAATAAAGGGGACCTAAAACATATCTTTTGCCAATTGTAGCCATAAAGTGAAAATTGTTGCAAATAAAAATCATCTGGGTAGGAACTGGAGTGTCTATAGTGAATCTCTGCCAATGCTCTAATACGCCCATGTCCCCAGTTTAGTGTGTCTGGCAGTCTGGGCAAGGGTGAATAAAGTGTAGACGCCACAGCTCACACTACTTCAGGCAGTGTCGGTCACAGTTTCCAATAACACTTTTTCTCCACCAAAATTTCAGCAGATAAATTATGGACTTAGCCCTTGATGTAGGACAATATCAGCAAAATTTAATTAACCACAAATCTCTACACACCAACTCTTCTGATCTTGAAAAACTGACCTATCTTCTGTCATTTAGCAACACTTTAGTAACAAGATTATCTTTTGACCCTGATAAAATAGATTTGAGTCTACTAGGCAAGAGGGAAAATTACTGTCTTATATGGCAAGTTATTCTACGGAAGCTTTACGGATATTTATCTGTTTGTGAAACAGGTCGTAGGCCCCACATTTGTAAGACTACACAGAAAATTAAGAACAACATACAAGTTTGAGTGGCTCAAGAAATTGAGTAAAACTGCCACTTCAACTGAAATCTTTCAAACATGCCTAATTGAATCTCTCATCTCGATTCAAATTTATGTATTTAGTAAGTTGCAAAGAAGGGCTATCAAATACAAAAATAAAAAACAAGAACTGTTAAAATGCCTTCTACAAAATGTCTAAATCTTATCTTGCTTTCTTTTGCTAAGGAGGATCTTTCCCACTATATATGTTCATGGGCCACATTCACATGAAAATATCCCACTGTATAATTCTTAAAATGCTCTATTTTTCATGTTGAGAACATTACCATCTATTTTTACCTTAAGACAGACAAAAATCCCTTGGCCTTTATTTTTGAAATACAAAATACAAAAGCAAAATTTCAAACATGGAAACAATGTTTTCAAGTTTGTATTTGAAAGGTTTGTGCCTTATTAAAATTTATTTTGCCCAAATGGTTCCTATTTTGTCGTGATCTTTTATAATGACAATGGCCAAGATTCAGGCTTTGGGGAACCAATATTCAACCTTTGCTATGTGTTACCCAAAAGTAAAGGGCCCCAGGGAACTTCAGTAATAGCACCACTGGTTTTTGAAATCATGAAATAATATTATGAAGCAAAAGAGAGTTATGTAGTTCCTTACCTTAAATCTCTGAATTCGTTCCTTCCTAGCTAAGGTCTCCAGTTTCTTTTTTATTTCAAGCTGATGATAACGCTAAACACCACTGGTTTTTGAAATCATGAAATAATATTATGAAGCAAAAGAGAGTTATGTAGTTCCTCACCTTAAATCTCTGAATTCGTTCCTTCCTAGCTAAGGTCTCCAGTTTCTTTTTTATTTCAAGCTGATGATAACGCTAAGTATACAGGAAAGAATGGAGGAGAGAATCAAATCAATCATAACAAGAATTTTTTACAGGAAAATAATCCCAGTAGCTAACTATATTCTCAATTACCCCTCTCATTATTGAGATGGAGAAGAATCACCTGCATTAAGTGTGCAGGTGAGAATATAAATTGGTACCTCTTTGGAAAGCCAGTTCCAAATAGTTAAAAATGTTCATACTCTTTAACCAATAAATTTCACTTCAAATCCTAGAAAAATATCTGAATAATAATTTTTAAAAGTGTTTTATGCACCAAGATGCTGTCTAAAACAATTTTTTCCCCTCGAAACAAAAATGCAGAGAATAGTTTGAAGAGAATAGTTAACTTTCAAACTATTAACTATTAACTATCTCTTAACTTTGAAGAGAATAGTTAAGTTTGTTACTTCTATATGATGGAATAGAAAATAATCATCAAAATAAGGTTCATAAAGATTTTGGTTAAAACATTGAAAGTACATGTAATGCAGGAAAAAAGCAGGACATAGAATTGCCCAGAAATACGATTTAATTGACCAAGCCCATATCAAGTGCCTGTCCCTGTGCTGGAAGCTGCTTGGCACGCATCGTCTCTTCTTGAATAACTCTCATTGCCGAGCAGTCCCATCTTACAAAGAAATTGAGGCAGAGGATCATGAATTTGCCCAGGTCATAGGTCTAGTCAGTGGCAGAGCTGTAATTTCAACCTCAGCCTAACATTAACTTCCTGTTTTCTGTTTTGTTTTGTTTTATTCCACAAAACCATGTCCCTATCACAACACAGCATGATTTTACTAATGTATAAATATGACTAGGAGTAAAAAGAAATGTATGTTAACAGCATTTGTCTCCAGGAGGAGGAATTACATCTGATTATTTTCCTTTTTTATGCTGATTTGTATCTTTTAAATTTTCTGTAATATAGTAATTTTATCATTTAAAATTGAGTCTCACGTAAAAATAATCTGTTTACAATTCGATCTGGAATCATCCAGATGCATTTGAGGGTGTTTATCTACTGGCCCTTTGAAAAAATGTGTTTTCTCTTTTCTTGATCTCCTCCTACCACTGCCCTTGGGACGGGCAGAATCAGTCATTTCCTACCTACCTACCATCCATCCTCTTGACACTTCCCTTTCTGAGCTCCTTTCCTTGATCTCTCACCCACTTACCACATTTTATTAAAATCACTATCAACCATTTTCCATCTTCTGTTTATTCGCAGCTCCACTGCAGCCACCCACTCCCACCACCCCTCCTCTCTGCCACCGCTGAGACCACTCATCTTATAAACCGTTCTGCAGCTTAGGAGAGCCTCCTGGCTTCCAGGACACCATTCTATGAGGCATGCTTTTCACCACTTGAAGGCTCTTTCCCAGCTCTACTGGCCCTTTGAAAAAATGTGTTTTCTCTTTTCTTGATCTCCTCCTACCACTGCCCTTGGAACGGGCAGACTCAGTCATTTCCTACCTACCTACCATCCATCCTCTTCACACTTCCCTCTCCGAGCTCCTTTCCTTGATCTCTCACCCACTTACCACATTTTATTAAAATCACTATCAACCATTTTCCATCTTCTGTTTATTCCCAGCTCCACTGCAGCCACCCACTCCCACCACCCCTCCTCTCTGCCACCGCTGAGACCACTCATCTTATAAACCATTCTGCAGCTTACGAGAGCCTCCTGGCTTCCAGGACACCATTCTATGAGGCATGCTTTTCACCACTTGAAGGCTCTTTCCCAGCTTACGTTGTTGTTCCCAATCTCCTGCAGTGCACACACCACCCACCAGGCCAGAACCCTCGGAGATGCTCTGGACTCCTTCAGCCCTCCTCTGACTGTCACTTTAGACCTTCCTCCCTCTTCAGAGTCTCTGTCGACAGCTGCATCTCCCCAGCGTCACCACTGATGCCGCCAGCCTGCACCCTCTGGCAACAGCTTCCTAATTGACCTCCCACCTCCAATCTTTTCCAGCTCATTAATCCATCATCCACATTTTTAGCAACATCATCTTTCTAAAACAGCTCTGCTCATTTATTTCACTCCCCTGCTGAGAAACGTTTCATTGCCTCATCACCTACACTCCAGGGCTGGGGTTTTAAGGCTCTCCAGAAAGTGGGCTCCAACCTGTTGGATAGTGACACTTCCTGCCACTCCTTCCAAACAACCCTCTGTACAGTCTGGCCTCAGTGAGCGTCCCTTTCCATCCACAACGTCCTTTCGCAGCTCTGTAATGTCCCACCTGCTGTCTTCACTCTCTGGAAGGCCTTTCCCACATTTTCTTTTTTTTTTTTTTTAATTTTAACTTCTCAATATACATTGTAGTTGATTTTCATGTCCCTTTACCTGTTCCTCTTTCCCCCTCCCTTCTTTCCCTTCCATCCCCCACCCACTACATCATATCTGTTCACTTGTCTTAACAAGTTCAAGGAATTGTAATTATTGTGTCTTCTTCCCCCCACTGCCCTTTGTTTGTATATTTATTTATTTTTAGCTCCCACAAATAAGTGAGAACATGTGGTATTTCTTTCTGTGCCTGACTTGTTTCACTTAATATAACTCACTCAGCCTTCAAGATCCAGTTCTAGGAACAGGACCCCTGTTCAGCTTTCTCTGACTCCCACAGAGGAAAGTCACCTTCCCCTCTTTTCTGAGCTCAGTCTGTTTGTTCCTCTCTTCTAACATTCAATCACTTTCTACAGTTGATTTTTTTTTTTTAATTATATCTCACAGCCACAACACATAGCCTCATACTGGCACATGGTAAGCCTGCAATTACTGTTTGTTGCTTGAGTGAATACAGGAATATTAATACAATATTTAGTAAACAGCGTCAGCATAAACTAAATGTGAGACAAATGTGACAATTTAGAAATATTGTTTATTCTATTAACATATTCTATATTATAATTATTAGTCTATTATATATAAATTATATACTATGTTATATATTAACATTCATCTAAGATATTTATTGAAAACCTTAAGAATGCACCAATACTCTCAAATAATAGCATATTTAGCAGTTCTGAAGTGTCATAATATGTCAGTTACGTGAGATTTTGGAAAAACAAACTTCAAGGATCAAAGCTAATACCGAAATCAGTGCCTATTAATTAGGTTTGAAACTAGGTATAGATTAATTGTAATCTGTATTATATATTTTTTAACAGAATTGTGGAATTCTTACAAATACTTTTATAAGCAAGTGAATTCAGGGGCATAAACAATGATTCTATATAATTCATGCACATCATATAAAGCACAAAATGAATTCCTAAATTAATAGACCATGCACATGTTAAATGATCACTCCACTTGCTCAATGTTATGGTAGCATAATAATAAATATTTATAGTGGCACTCTACTTAGTATTGGTTTACTGGTGATTCTATAGCTGTTCATAAATGTTTTCTGCACCCGCAGGTCAACGGTTTTGCAAGCCAAGTTTTTCTGATTTACTGTTGTATGGTCAAGCCGAAAAGTGCTTCTTCACAGAGATTCAAATGGTGTTGATGTTTGAAACTATGAGTTCCATGGAGCAAGGCTGAAATAATTTATCAAGTTAGCTACATATTCCACTCAAAATGCTATGTCAGATTTAAAAAAAAAAAA